TTATACTGTCAGAGCTAGGGCTCAGACCCTCCAAACTCATTGTACAGACTGGGTCCCCAGACCCCTCACACGTAGGTCCATGCTAGGTAATTGAGAAAGATTCGAGGAGCTATTGGCAGATGACATGAGCTTAGTCCTCAGTGGCAGCAGCTTATAGGTCCGGCATTGGCAGTGGCCTTGCAGAGGGTCCCGGGGGCACTAGCAGCAGCCTCCAGCAGCAGCAGTGGCCTCCCCATGCCCCCCCCACGGGGGGGCATCCTGGGGATGAGAAGCTCCGTGGATCAGAGCCACTCATCCTTAAGTCCATAACCCAGGACACCTGGATGCACATGCGCAATTATGCTAGACTATAACCAAGGAATGTCTGAGTGCATATGCCTATTTACATCAAATGCTCGGCAAGATTCTGAACATCTGAGGGGCCGTGACCATTTTTCCTATATTTTCCCAACAATCTGCTTAGTTGCTTACTCCACTGAAGTCTTGAACCCCTCAAAGTCATCCATGAGGGTTGGAATCAACTGCCAAACTTCTATTTTGACCTCTTCCCATGAATCATGAATGTTCTTAATGACAGCTAGAATAGTGAATCCTTTCCAGAAGGTTTTCAATTTACTTTGCCCAGATCCATCAGAGGAATCACTATCTATGGCAGCTATAGCCTTATAAAATGTACTTCTTAAATAATAAGACTTGGAAGTCAAAATTACTCCTTGATCCATGGGCTGCAGAATGGATGTCGTGTTAACAGGCATGAAAACAACGTTAATCTCTTTGTACATCTTCATCAGAGCTCTTAGGTGACTAGGTGCATTGTTAATGAGCAATAATATTTTGAAAGGAATCTTTTTTTCTGAGCAGTAGGTCTTAGCAGTAGGCTTAAAATATTCAGTAAACCATGCTGTAAAAGATGTGCTGTCACTTGGGCTTTGTTGTTCCACTTATAGAGCACAGGCAGAGTAGATTTAGCATAATTCTTAAGGGCCCTAGGTTTTTTGGAATGGCAAATGAGCATTGGCTTCACCTTAAAGTCTTCAGCGGCATTAGCCCCTAACAAGAGAGTCAGCCTGACTTTTGAAGCTTTGAACCCAGGCATTGACTTCTCCTTTCTAGCTGTGAAATTCCTAAATGGCATCTTCTTCCAGTGTAAGGCTGTTTCATCTACATTGAAAATCTATTGTTTAGTGTAGTCACCTCCATCAATGATCTTAGCTACATCTTCTGAATAACTTGCTGCAGCTTGTACATCAGCACTTGCTGCCTCACCTTGTACTTTCATGTTATGGAGAAAGGTGCTTTTCTAAACCTCATGAACTAACCTCTGCTAGCTTTAGACTTTTCTTCTATAGCTTCCTCACCTCTCTCAGCCTTCATAGAATTGAAGAGAGTTAGGGCCTTGCTCTGGATTAGGCATTGGCTTAAGGGAATGTTGTGACTAGTTTGATCTTCTATCCAGACCACTAAAACTTTCTCCACATCAGCAATAAGGCTGTATTGCTAAAGCGACACGACTATGCCAGTTGTGGGGTTAAAGCAATAGCTATGCTAATTGTATGGTTAGGCATTTCATAACTAATGCCGAAATGTTTCATTATTTTAGTTATACTAAGTTTCCATTTGTATTGTCAGGGTTAGGGCTTAGACACTTCAAACCCATTGTACAGACTAGGTCACCAGACCCCTCACGTGCAGGTGCATGCTAGGTAATTGGGAAAGATCCTGGGAGCCGTTGGCAGATGACACGAGCTCAGTCCTTAGCAGTAGCAGCAACAGCTTATAGCAGCCTCCAGCAGCAGTGGCAGTGGCCTCCTGGAGGATCCCAGGGGCCCTGGCAGCAATAGCTTGCAGCAACAGCCTCCAGCAGCAGTAGTGGCCTCCCCGTGGTGCCCCCAGGAACATCCCAGTGGGGGGGGCACTGTGGATCAGAGCCACTCGTCTTTTATACTTAAGGCCACCTGGGTGCACATGTGCAATTACTTTAGACAATAACCAAGGAATGCCTGGGTGCACATGCATATTTACATCAAATGCTCAGCAAGATTCTGAACACTTGAGGAGCCCTGACCATTTTCCTTTATTTTCCCTACAAAGGCTATTTCTCTTTCTTAACATTTGTGTGTTCACTGGAATAGCACTTTTCACTTCCTTCAAGAACTTCTCCTTTACATTCCAATTTGGCTGTTTGGTGCAAGAGGCCTAGCTTAAGGCCTATCTCAGCTTTTGACATTTCTTCCTCACTAAACTTAATCTCATTTCTAGATTTTGATTTAAAGTGAGAGAGGTGTGACTCTTCCTTTCACTTGAACACTTAGAAGCCATTATTCATTGGCGTAATTTCAATATTATTATTGAAAGGTTATTCATTGGCCTAATTTCAATATTGTTGTGTCTCAGAGAATAGGAAAGCCTGAGGAAAGGGAGAGAAATGGATAAACAGTTGGTGGAGCAGTCAGAACACAAACATTTATCCATTAAGTTCACCATCTTATATGGGCGCAGTTTGTGTTGTCCAAAAACAATTACAATAGTAATATCAAAGATCACTGACCACAGACTATCATAACAGATATGGTAATAATGAAAAAGTCTGAAATATTTTGAGAATTACCAAATATGACACAGAGACATCAAGTAAGCACATGCTGTTGGGGAAATGATGCTAATAAACTTGCTCGACACAGGGTTGCCACAAACCTTGAATTTGTAAAAAAAAAAAAAAAAATACAGTATCTGTGAAATGCATGAAACAAGATGTGCTTATATTTTTAATTTTACTTTCTAAATCTGTTTTGATTCTTCTCTTCAACCCCATCACCGCTACTTTAAATGAGGCATACAAGTATTTTCTCATTTGGATTATGACAAGTCTCTCCTCCTTTAGTCTCTTCTTCAGATCCACTTCCACCCTTCATATCATCCGTGTGTATTTTTTCCCTTCCTAAATTCCTTGATTGGCTTTTATTAAATCCAAATTCCTTAAGCATGGCAAACAGGGGCCTGCCTCCATGAGCTGGTCTTTGTTTACTTCTCCTGCCTCATTCCATTATACCTTGAGATCCAATTTACCAGTAGTTCCCCAATATCTCTCCCACAAATACAAATATATGTATATATATCCCTTTATCCCCTCCACCCCATATATAATTTTTTTCCAATGCATCCTTCTTTATCACAGTCCTACAAGACTTGAAGAAATCTGAACACAGAAACCATCTTCAAATTTCTAACTCCTAGTCGGGGCTGATCATAGTTGACTTGAACACAATTTGCTATTTTGTTAGTATAAGTATCTTACTATGACATGTGTAGTTGCAGCTGCCATGCACTCCCTAGATCCCCTTTCAGTACTAAAGGATTCTTTCCCTACAGCTGGCAGTCCTGCTGCCAGACAGCCCTCTTCAGGAATTGCCGTGTCCCTAACTCAGGACAACTCTGAAGGGCCTTTCCCAATTTCTCCATGGGGTCAGCTGAGGCCTTGAGAATGCATTCAAGTACAACTTCTGCCCCTCCTGTCTCTTCCCTTCCATCTTAAAAACAGTTCCTAATAAACTTACTGTAAGCAAACTCTGAGTCTGCTTGCTGGAGAATCCAACTTGTAACATGTTTGTTTTATTGATACTTCCTTCTTAAGTTGTAGATCATGTGAAGGTATGGTTAGCTAAAATCTTACTAATTCAAGATCATTTCATCAGGTGTGTTGAGCACCTGCTCCATGCCAAGGCATTGTGCCAGATGAGATGGAGACAAATTAAGACTTGGCCCCTGCCCTGAAGGAGTTTATAGTCTAATTGAGGTAGAGTTACATAAGAAACTAACTATACAATAGCACCTTTAGAATAATCTTTTTGAAGTAAACGTCAGTAATTTAGTATAAAAGTCAAAGGCATGGACTTTACTCTGTGGTATTGAAAACAACAAAAAGAAAATATTTCAGGGGAAGGAAAATGAATATAAGTAAATAGGCTCAAATTTCAGAAGTTTACAGAATTTGTCTTTAGTTCTGGAAGCCTTTCGGGAAAAGGTAGTTTTTTAAATTTTTATTTTGAAATAATTTCAAATTTACAGAAAAGTTGCAAGAATAATACTGAACTCACATACACCCTTTGTGCAGATTTGTCAACTTTTAATATTTCCGCATAAGTAAGCCATAGAAGATCTCAGAAGTTTGTTAACTTGATTAAAATACCATTGTGAAGTGAAGCACTTGTGATTTTCTAAGAGGAAAGCATGGATAGGTCCAGGTTATCTGTAAAGATGTGACTTACCGCTCCCTAGATGTAGACCTTGCTCTGGAGAGCTCATTTGGTGAGGTGCTTTTCAAAAGAGATGTGTATGGGTCGACCCCGTGGCTCACTCGGGAGAGTGCGCCGCTGGGGGGAGTGCCGAGGCCGCGGGTTCGGATCTTATATAAGGATGGCCGGTGCGCTCACTGGCTGAGCACGGTGTGGGTGACACCAAGCCAAGGGTTGCGATCCCCTTACCGGTCGGTCACAAAAAAAAAAAAAAAAAAAAGCGTATTCTGGATCCAGGAACTGTGGATTTCCTTGAGTTACTAAGTAAGGTATGAGGGTACTTCAAAAAGTTCATGGAAGAATCCGACTTGTCATTGCCAGCTTCACAATGCTTAAGTTAAATGACATTCTTAGGAACTGTCTTTTGTGTTCAGGCTTCCCGTCAGCCAGGCTGGTAGGTAAGGGAGGGGCGGCTCTGGAAACTAGAGCTAGGTCTCCCCTAACACGTGGACCTCGATGCTCCTGCAGCCCTGGCTCGAAACCTCCACACACCAAGAGCCTTGGCAGCGCCAAGGCTGGCACTGCGTGCAGAAGGCGTCTTTCGGAGGGCGTGGTCGGGCGCAGCGCGAGTCGCTGGGCCCCCCCCCCACGTCATTTCCGGTGTGGTCTGTTGGGAGTTAGTGGTGGTTGCGAAGGCCTAAGCCCAGCCTTCCAAGCAGGGAGAAACCCAGGTCCTGTCCACCGCAAAGCTCGAGGCCTCTGGAGGTCATGGCTTCCCCGCTGAAGCGAGAGCAGGATGTGCAGGGGATAGTAGATAAGTTTCGGGCCCGGATTGCCCAGGAGGCCGAGAATTTGGTGTCCACCTTCTTCCCTCAGAAGCTGTCTGAGCTGGATAGCTGGGTCCAGGAGCTCCGCCTGCAAGACCTGTCCAGAATCCGATCGGTGCCAGCCCCGGAGTTCCCCGCCTCCCCAGACACTGCAGGGGATGGGCCCAACCGGGATCTGCTGCCTCTGCAGACCCAGTCCTCGGTCAAGGTCCCAGCACTGCCGGGCGGTGAGGGACAGCTTCTGCGGAGCAACCAGAATCTGGTGGAACTGATTGAGCGGGTAAAACCTGAGATCGAGCTGCTGAGGGAGAAGTGCAACACTGTGCGGATATGGGTGCAGCTCCTCATCCCGAAGGTGGAGGATGGCAACAACTTCGGAGTGTCTATCCAGGAAGACACCGTGGACCAGCTGTGGACCGTGGAGAGCACAGCCGCCTCCTATCTACGCCGCTTCTCCACCTACTACAACACCCGGGCCAAGTTGGTATCCAAGATAGTGAAGTACCCCCAAGTGGAAGACTATCACCGCACTGTAGCCGAGGTCGACGAAAACGAGTACCTGAGTGTGCGCCAGATCCTGCTGCATTTACGGAACCAGTATGCCACTTTGCATGACGTAATCCTCAAAAACATCGAGAAGATCAAGACCCCTCGGAGCACCAACTCCAACAACCTATACTGAGGACCTTTCTCCATCCCACTTTTCTAAAGGAGTTGGCTGAGCTATTTTGGCAGCTAGAAGGCTGGTTATTAATGACCACAGGTGATGAGACGACTAGAAATGAGCGTTACCGAATTTCACACATCTTATCCTCACAATGAATCTTCTTTTGTTGTAATTTTTATTTGATCTTCCCTTTTTGAGGATGGAGACAAACCGTCTGATAGAATGTGGTAAGGTTGGCCAAGGAGAAAGGACTGCCATTTTTAAAAGCAGCTTTGTAGATGGATGTAGGCCAAGTTTCTTTATTATGACATTGGTGACATTGAATGGTTTCGGGAGTTACTTAACTAAAGTTTATAACAAAGTTAAATGAAGCTTTTCCTAAGGTTCTGCTGTATGTTTCTTTGTTCAAACCTCAGAAATAACGCTGGAACTCCCAGGACGTCATTTCTCGTGTGGTCTGTTGGGAGTTGGTGGTGGTGGCAGACCCCGGGACACCATCATTCGTTTTTTGTTTTGTTTTTGTTTTTGCAAGGAAAGGAGTTTCCAATTTAGAGGATTGAAATAAAACTTTGTTATAACATTTTATGATGGCCTGTGTGCTTATCTGAACTTTAATTTTCAGATGGATAAGGTTACCCTCCTCCTCAGTTGGACTCATACCCTTGATATTTTTCAACTATGATGTGTAGGAAAAATGAGCATATAAAGAGTAATAAATTTTATTTCTTCCAGAGAGATGGACATCCACCTCCCTTAAAATGAAGAATCTTGAAAATGGCTTCCTTGCAAAACCTTCTACTATCTCAGCATCTTTCAGTTTCCTTTTACATACAGCTTATAATTTCTTCTGCATATCCATTTATCTCATAAATCCCTGCTAAGTCCATCAGGCTTTATATCACATATACTCCCCCCTCCCCCAGTTGATTTTCAACTCCCTTCTTTTTTGGTCTCAAGATATTTCTTAAAGGTGGCTAGATTTCCTTCTCACATTGTATGTATGGATCATTCTTTAAAGACTCTAAAATGTGACTTTGTTTTTTTTCCCTCCTGCCTGCTTTTTCTGCCTCTGTAAGGGGAAACCATTGTCTTCTCAACAGTGAACTAACTATATTGTTGGTATTTTTATTTTTTTATTTTTTTATTTTTTTTATTTTTTTTAATTTTTTTTTTTTAAAGATGACCGGTAAGGGGATCTCAACCCTTGACTTGGTGTTGTCAGCACCACGCTCAGCCAGTGAGCAAACCGGCCATCCCTATATGGGATCCGAACCCGGGGCCTTGGTGTTATCAGCACCGCACTCTCCCGAGTGAGCCACGGGCCGGCCCTATTGTTGGTATTTTTATTTTTTTATTTTTTTTAATTTTTTTTTTTTAAAGATGACCGGTAAGGGGATCTCAACCCTTGACTTGGTGTTGTCAGCACCACGCTCAGCCAGTGAGCAAACCGGCCATCCCTATATGGGATCCGAACCCGGGGCCTTGGTGTTATCAGCACCGCACTCTCCCGAGTGAGCCACGGGCCGGCCCTATTGTTGGTATTTTTAAAGTTCAGCATTTCCAGATTTCATTTGCAGGTAAGATACATTTTTGCACTGAGTCACCTCATGCGTCAGGGACAATTTCTTTCTTGTGATATAATGCAATGAATCCTTTTTGCATAGTGGTTTTTGTTTAGAATTTCATCTTTTCTGATGATAAAGATACTTTAGCCAGCTGAAGTGTATTTATTTAAAACACCTTTGTTTCAGTATTAGTATTATTTCAGGATATTCATCACTCAATACCACTTGTGGACATTATATAGTACAAATTTAGAAAACGGGTGAGTAGGAGTTATTTTTGATGTTTTTTTTATATATAGAAATGAGATTATTCCTGTGCACAATGACGGCTTCATCTTTTTCCAATTCAACTAACTGAATTCTCATGATATTTTTAAGCCTGTATACATATCTAAGGTATGAACTTATTTAACCTTTTAATATATTTTATAATTATACAGTATTTGCATGCAACAAATTATTTCTCAATTTTTTGGTGTGGAAAAATTACAAGGGATTAAATTAATTTTTTGTGAGAGATGAGAATGTATTTCCCATTGAAATTTCTTTTCTGCATAATATAAGACCCTCTGAAACTAGGTGACCATATAGTAAGCAGAGCCTAGTGTCTATTATTAAATCTCATTTGTAATCCTACCCCCCCCCCCCTTTTGCAATATCTTTGTAAGACATATAGTAAGCAGAGCCTAGTGTCTATTATTAAATCTCATTTGTAATCCTACCCCCCCCCCTTTGCAATATCTTTGTAAGGATAGAACAAGAGAATTCCTTGCTGCGAATATTACCTTTAGATCTCGTTATAGTCAGGGTCATAACATGATTGTTTTATCTGTTTTCTTTTAATTGATCCTAACAACTACCTCCCCTCCCCATATCCCCATTTAATAAGCGAAATCACTTTTGAATGAGTCTTTCTTTAGGAGTTTCTTTAGCAGTGTGTTTTGGTTGCCAAGGGTGAAAACCAGCATGAACTTTTGTTGTACAGACTTGACTCTTAAAGCTGCTGTAAAAAATTTCCTATTTAACAGCAAGAATTATTTAACATGTAAAGCGGAAATTTTTCTTTTGAATGTTTTTTTTTAAAAAGAAATATTTCTGAGTTTGAACTCCAGTTACTGGTGGTGGGTTTTTTTGTTTTTCTAAGGTAGCAGTGACATCTGTTAAGTTTTTCTCAGGTGGTGTCAATGTCTGTGTGGGAAGTGCTTGATTTATGAAACATTTCTTTTTTTTTTTTTTTTTTTCATTTTCGTTATCTATTTTACCTGGAAGAGTGAAAAGAATATATTTCTCTCCATGAGTAAGGTGAATTAATTTGAGATATAAAATTGTTTTAATCATCTGTTAAAAAATTTTATTCATAGTTATATCTAGAAAATGTACCTTATACTTGAGCCTGTCCTTATTAAAATAGACATAAATATTTGTCTATTCTAACCTATGTAGATTAAAAAAATGTGTAAACTGGTCTAGTGGAAACTTTATTTTCAAAGTAAATTCCTAAAAAATGATAACAAAGTAAAACAAGTTTATTCTTTTGTTGAACTTCTGAAAAGTGTGAGTCTCTCAAATCTGCCCTTAAAAAGCAATAACAAAAGATATTGCCTAATAGAAAGACATCTGTTTACATTTCACATCCCCCATCAAGAGTTCTCTTTCTTTCCCTAGTAAGGTGTTATATCTAATTCAGAAAAGTGCCAGGAGTCTTACATTAGTTCATACCATTTGACAGGCATTTAATTGTACACAAGTGTGTAGTGGACAATGTAAGAGAAGTCCAAATGTTTAAATTTTCAACTAGTGTTAATCATCTAAGGTTTAAAATATCTGTTCCATACATAATATAACCATCATCTTTTACTTACTCCTTTTACTCTTAAACTGTCAAACCCTATGCCAGATTGAAATAAATTATCTCTAATCCCATGCATGCCTTTTACTAAGAAAATATGCATGTCCTTCGTAATTAAAGATGTCTGGTATTTGCATTTTTTTCCCTTCTCTAATACTCTATCAAACTAAATTGGTACAGGAATGCTTTTATAAAGTTGCTGTTTCTGCAAAAAGTAATCCCTTTGTGATTTTTCCCCTTTCTTGCAAATGGTTGGAAAAACTTTTATAATAATAAACCTATTTCAGGAACTGGTGTTAAAATATGGTACCAGTGTGAATCATTTGGCTATTATTCATAGTAGAGACTGAAATCTTTTTTGTTCCTTTCTAACAAAACAGCTGAATTGAGAGTGTATGTGTATATAAAGAAATATAAGTTTTTAATGTTAATAAGTTTTAAAAACTCATTTTGGAATTAAATAATTTTAGTTTCAAATTCATGAAAGCCACTAACTAAAATTTGATTGGAAACTCTGAAATTAGTAGATCTGTTTTTTAGAATTGAATGAAATACCTTTCTTAAAACACATAAATGATATAGAAGAGTATTAATTTTAAAATTCTTGAACTTTGGAGTTAAGAGTTTTTATTTTTTTATTTTATTTTATTTTTTTTTTAAAGATGACCGGTAAGGGGATCTCAACCCTTGGCTTGGTGTTGTCAGCACCACGCTCAGCCAGTGAGCAAACCGGCCATCCGTATATGGGATCCGAACCCGTGGCCTTGGTGTTATCAGCACCGCACTCTACCGAGTGAGCCACGGGCCGGCCCAAGAGTTTTTAAAGATTATTTAATCGTTTATAAATTCTTTGGTTGTTAGAGGCAACATTTATTTTGTAGTCTTTATGAGGTTTACGTATTTCTGTAGAATTCTTACCAAATGGTCTCAACCATTAATATATAACTATGTTATCATTTTAAAATGCTTTTTATTTTCAAAAGGACTATCTCCATGCTCAGAAATTTGAAAAATAAAGGAGAAATCACCCATAGCCCATTAGTCTAACAAAATTATTGAAATTCATGTGTTTCACTTATTTTAAAGGATGCATATGTTTTCACATTATTGTAACATAGCATATGCATACTTCTGTAGAGTATAAGCACTTCTATTTAAAGCCAGTCTAATAATTTCATTTGACTTTTATCCCCAGATTCAAATAGCAGTAAACAAACCCCCATTCATTCTGTGTTCCAAGGATTCTTCTGGCTCTTTTCCCTAACTGTGAAAATATTTGTATGAGGCAGGGATTTTGATTAGAGTATGGAAAATAGTGATCAAGTAGCCAGGAGGACATGTGCCTAGATGACTATGAGAATGTCTAGACAGTTAGATAGGATTTTACTCTCAGTTGGATCTCCATAGTGGTTTTAGCAGTGTATCGGTGATCATTTTATTATTTAGTGCTTGTTCTCCCCCCCACACACACACCAAAGCATTTAATTACTTCTATAAAATCTGTATGAGAAAGCAGCCTTGTTGTTTTATATTGATTAGATGAGTTGTTCCTGCTTACGTGATTTGGTATGAGTAGGAGGGAATCCTACTTCTGTCAACATTTAAACATTTCTGAAA